TTGGACTCTCTTGAGATTTCTTTTACAGTGTCCTTCATACTCCATGGAGCTGAGGCAGCTCCTGACATTTGTCCCCCACAGCCCACACTGGGTCCCCCGAGCTGAGCTCAGTCATCACAGGCTAGCGTTTCACCCCTGCAGGTCCATCTCAGGGACAGGATGCAGCGGGTTGGAGATCGGCTGCTAAGGACAGACACCTTGTTGGCTGTGCACACACACACACACACACACACACACACACACACACATATACACACACATATATATATATATATATATATATATATATATATTCCGTTCCTTCAGTGAAAGAAGAAAGATTCCCAACATAGTCCCTGTACAGCTCTGGCTTAGACATTAGGAGGGTCCAAGAAAAATGAACCACCTAACTGGAATAAGAATGGAATTAATTCAGTGTGGCCTTATCACACCCAGGGCTGTCACAGGTGGGGCACTGAGGGTCACGCCGCAGCTGGGGCCATACAGATCTGAGTGGCCTGTGCTGTCACAAGGTGTCATGGTGATGTCCAGGCCTGGGCTGCTACTGAGGGTCACGCCTGGGTCAGTGGCCCTACCACAGCCAGTGTCTGAGTTGATGTCCCATGGCTCCTGTTACTACCGAGGGCTCTGTGGATGTGCAAGGTGTGGTCAACCTTTTGAGACCATGTTGGTGTCTGAGGGCCTTGCTGCAGCCGGGGCCATACTGATCTGGGTGGCCTGTGCTGTCAGGGGCCATGGTGATAGCCCAGCCTGAACTGCCATGGAGGAGGGCCATGCCTAGGTGCACTAGACCAACCAGGTCAGCGACCACCCAGGCCCATATCCTGGGCCTTCGGTTGTCCCACCATAACTGCTACCCCATCTATGAACTGCTGGAGCGTGAGAAGGACCTGCGTGACTCAGGGCCGGTGAGAGTCCAGTGAGGATGGCAAGCCAGAGACCTTGAATCAGATCATGAACATTTTGTGGGTGGAGCTGACGGGACAAAAGGGTGTACTGCGACACACCACAGCTCCCAAGACCACTAGGATGGATAGAGAGCTGCTGCAAAGATGGAGGAACGAGGTGATTTTTGTTTCTTTGTTTTGTTGTTAATTAGTTGGGGGGGAATTCCTTTCAGGAGGCAATGTAGGGGTGAGGGGCAGATATGAAGGTGAATGAGATTGGGGTGCATAATGTGAAATGCCCAAAGAATCAATAAATAATTGTGTTATTTTTAAAAAAAAAGAGTGGAATTCCGAGAAATGGGAAGCAGAAGGCAGACTTGCAGAAGGGGCAGGGTCAGCCACATCCACGTCACGGGGCCACGAGGGCTCTCGGGAAGCTGGGTAATTATCCCTGACACCCCACCCAGCACTTTTTCTTTCTGGTTGCCTCCCAGCCACCATCCCATAAATGGACCTGGGAGAAATCACAGCCCGATTAGCAGCTTCCTGCCATTCTCTGGCCTCGATCCCTCCATCAGCCCCACACAAACACGGCGAGGTCCGCCGAGCACCCTGAGGCTGACACTGTCCTCCTACGGTTTCCAGGTCACACGAAGCAAGGAAACTTCACAATGGCTGGGGAAGGGCTGGACTTAGCAGCCAGGGTACTGCCCTTCTGTGGTGGGCGCTAGAGGTGGCGGAGGAATGGGGAGGCTGGAAATAAATGAGCATCTCTCTCTGCTGCATGAGGACTTCTGAGCTCACCTAGTTCTCACTGTTCCTGAGGGCACACTGGCTGGGAGAGAACTGTGGGAAGCAGCTTATGTTCACACCTGACTGTGAGGAGCCAGGACATCTAGGGGTTCCAGGCACTGAGGAGGACCTGAGACTTCTGCTCTAGGGCAGCAGCCCTATACGCCTGCTCCTGTCCTGGTCTCACTCATGACAGTGGGAAGCACACAGCCAAGCTGGAATGAGGCTTCCCAGGGTTTCTAGCCCACAGGACAGAGAAGTGCAGAGCCAGGTGACTCCATCCCTGTAGGTCACAGTAGACACAGATCCACCTGAACCCTCAGCAAAGTGACCCTGTATGCTATTGCCCTCACTGCCAACAGGTATCTGGGCGTCCTTTAATAATAACTAGACAAGCAGACCCCGCCTGAGTTCCTACTGTGTATTTCCCAGTAGTAGAGACAGGACATCACTCGTTACATCCATGGTTCTGAGACAGACATTGTCATTCCTGCCAAAAGGACTGACACACTGCAGGTCACAGGAGCAGGGATGGAACTAAGCCCAGAGTTTCTGGCCTCCATTGCCTGGTTCACACAGGGTAGGTGTCTAGCCCACGAGTAGCCACTTGTCCCAGTCAGGCCCTGCCTAGCCCAGTGTCTCCACTAACAGGATCTCAGCGAGGCCGTCATGCCGATCATGAGGCTGTGGCTCCCGGCACGGTGAGAGCTCCAGGAAGACAGCTGTGAGAGGGGACACCAACTTGATGCAGGGCAGACACCATGACCAAACCCTGCCCTGCCAACAGCCACCCCCAGGATGCCCCCCACCTGCCTAGCCTCAACACCACACCCCGTCCCACGCTAACCACAACGTAGTCTCCTCACCAGACCCAGGGCTCCCAAGGCAGGTGCTGTCCCTGCCGGCCCCCGGCCCCAACACCAGCCATGAGTAGCTACCGGGCACAGCCTCAGAAACTGGTGAACAAACGAAGGAGTACGTGGCCACCACGGAATGTGCTGAATCTTCAGCCTCTAGGGAGCGGACAGGCCCAGATTCACACCTGCACCAGGCCCTCAAGGATGGGAACCAGACTGTGATAAACAAGGAAAGCAAAGAGCATCCGGAGACAGAGATGCTGGATCACAGACTCGGCCGCGACCATTAAATAAACAAGGCCAGACACGTAACTAGGGGCCCTCCATTGAAAACAAGCCTCAAAACAAACAACTAAGGAAGCCCGGGCTCTGGGTGGAGATCCTGCGGTGGCTCCCAGGCCATGTGACAACCAGAGCCCCCCAGCCACCACTAGCAGCCTCACCAGGGCTGGGTGGCCCTGCTCCCGTACCCACTTCTGCCACAGACAGGGAGTTACAAGCCACCTGAGCTCTCTATCGCTATGGGATAATCCTTCCGTAGATTGTGAAAATGCGTTGCTCTCAGTGTTAATAAAAACATGATTGGCTGATAGCTAGGCAGGATTTTCGGGGCTTAGAGAATGCTGGGAAGAAGACGGGCAGGGTCTGAGGAGTCTCGAGCAGATGCAGAGAGAAACAAGATGAACGTGCCATGTTGAAAGAAAGTACCGCCACATACCAGAGCTTAGATAAGAAATAAGGGTTAATTTAAAATGTAAGAGTTAGCAAGCAACAAGCCTGAGTGTTTATAACAAACAACAAGTCTCTGTGTGGTTATTTGGAGCGACTGCCAGGACACAGAAAAGGTCTGCCTACCCTCTGTTCTGCATGTGGATGACAGCCTGACATCTGGCTCATACAGATACGCGGGGCTGACGGACAGGCCCAGCGCTCCCATCAGCAAGACTGGGGACAGAAAAGTCGTCATGGCTATACCCGAGCTCTGTTAGACCCACCCTGCCCACAAAAGCAGCAGCCGTGTCTTGACTCCACCGCACGGCAGGGAGACAGCCAGCCTGGACAGCCAGGTCAAGCCTGGCTTGGCCGGCCTCTGCCCACTCCCACCCTGGGATATTCACCAGACCTCAGCTCAAGACTCAGAGGGGACACAGGGCTACAGGCTGCCCTGCTCCCCTCCCCGGCCCCACCATCCTGCCCACAGCATCCCTATCCACCTGTCCCTGGAAGCCTTCATGCCCCCTTTCCCTCCTACGTAGCCACACACACCCTATTCTCTCATCCCATCATTAGTGCCTCCCCTGGCATACCAGGGAGCCCCCGACTCACAGCAGAAACCTGGGGGCCCCAGACTTTGATATCTGTGCCGCAACTATAAGCCCCAGGAAGAAGGGGACACCTTCAGACACCTCCAGGGAGCCACAGAGGGAAGGGAGATACTGGTGTTGGGCCAGAACACCCCAACCTGAGGAGTGCTGGACAGCATCCCAGTCTTGTCACCTCCAAGCTGACCTCCTGTCCTTTTCCCTCTGCTCCTTTCCGGAGAGTGACTCACTTCCCTCCTGGAAAAAAATCAGCAACCGTCCCTTCTCTCTTCCCTACTTCTCACTAGAGTTCACCTCAGGACAAGCAGCTAAGTCTCCAACGATGAAGCCCACCATGCTTAACCTTTGATGTGAGCAGTGTGGCTCCCAGTCACCCCAGTAGTGACTTTAGGGATGATTGTTCTAGAGGAATACCACTCTTGCCTGCTGGCCACCTGTCCCCACGCCACCTGCTGGCTACCTGTTCCCATGATACCTGCCAGCTACCTGTTCCCATGATACCTGCCAGCTACCTGTTCCCATGACACCTGCCAGCCACCTGTCCCCACAACACCTGCTGGCCACCTGTCCTTATAACATCTGCCAGTCACCAGTCCCCACATTCAGTAGCAGTCACCTGTCTCCACAATACTTGCCAGCCACCTGTCCCCAACACCCACCTGCCAGTCACCTGTCCCCAACACCCACCTGCCAGTCACCTGTCCCCAAAACACCTGCCAGTCACTGGTTCCCATATCCACCTGCCAGTCACCTGTTTCATACCTGCAGGCCAAGGCCTCTCCAGCAGCCACAATAGCCATGCTCCACGACCAGGAGCCTATTCCTTTGTCCCTGCACGGCCAGATGCTCAGGCTTGCCTTTCTCCCTCTGATGCCAGTACCAGGTCAGTTCTACCTCCCACGGTTCTACCAGACTATTCTGCAAATCCCTTCCCCTTGAATTCTGTTCGAACAGTCTTTGGCAGACAGAACTGTGGTGCTGGAGTCCCTGGGATCTCTAGTGCGACTGAGGGCAGGGACCAAGAGGACAAAAGCTATGTACGGGTCAGTACCCAGAGACTCAAGGTCAGACAGATGCTCCCTATTAGACCATGCCTCTGTTCAGAGTCTGCCCAGTACCAGCTGAGAGAGATGGGCACTCACCTGAGAGGCACCCCTCCTGGCCAGGCTTCTGGCTCCACCCCGGACAGCACCTGAACACAGTGCGGGCCTCCGTGGCATACACCTGCCTATAGCTCATATAGTAGACAGTCCTGGAACAGAAGAGAAAGGATGTGTTGATCACTACAGGGCCAGCACTTGGGCTCTCAGAACACCCCAAAGATAGGTCCTTGCCAATGGGGGCTGAGCAGGCCGAAGTGCCCAGGGAACTGATGCCCCAGATACCAGAGCCTGGCTCCTTCCTCCCCTCAAGGTCTCTGCCTTCTTCACAGGGTGGTCCCATCCTGTCCAGGGAGGAATCTTGTCCCCACCCTTGGCTGCCACACAGGCTCCTCCCTCATTCAAGTGACCAGTAAGGCACATGGCGGCTGCTGCTGCCGGCTGTCAGCTCCGTCCAGTCTGGTACCTTTGTCTGTCACTTCTGATACTGAGTTTGAACACTGACTCCCCCAAATCTATGTCTGCCTATAATGGCAACTTAAGGGAACAAAGCCTGTGTAAGTTGCCATCAGTCAATACGGGGACACACTGAATAGTGCCATACTGACATCAGTGAATACGGGACACGCTGGATAGTGTCATAGTGACATCAGTGAATAC